TGGTCAGTTTGGGGGTCCCGGGTAGTGGGGGGGGGGTCCCGGTCACTTTGGGGGGTCCCAGGGGGGTCTCAGGTCAGTGGGGGGGGGTCCCCAGCCTCTGCAGGCGCCGCCGCCGCAGCTCAGCCGTGTCAGGGCCCTCGCGGGGCTCGGGGCCTTCAGCCACGTCCTCCTCATCCTCGGGGGAGGCAGGATCTGCGGGGGACACCAGAACCGCTTTGTACCAGTTTATAGCAGTGCAGAAACAGTTTCACCCAGTTTCCCCAGTTTGGAGGGGGCTCCTCACTCACCGGTGGCTCCAGCAGCTCCGGTGGCTCCCGAGGGTCCCGGCGCTGGGGGCTCCTCCGGGGGGGCCTCGTGGGGGGGTGGCGGCCGGGGGGCTGCTCGGGGGGTCCTGGGGGATCCCAGAGTTACCCCAAATCCTGGGGGGGATGGGCAGCACCAAACCCTCCCAGTGCTCCCAGTCCATCCCAGTTAACCCGATAGCTGCCAGCACGCTCAGGTACTGGTTGATCTGTGCCCCCCCAGTCCCTCCCAGTCCATCCCAGTTACCCGATAGTTGCCAGCACGCTCAGGTACTGGTTGATCTGCAGCATGGCCGCGTCCAGCAGGGTGTGGATGTTGTGCAGGCACTGCAGCCGCGCCTCCAGGTGCTGCCGCTCGTGGCCCTCCAGGGCTCGCAGCTCGTCCTCGGTGAGCCCGGCAAAGCCGGCGGGGGGCACCGGCATGGGGGGCACGCCTGGGGAGGGGTCAGTGCGGGGGAACCACAAATCATCCCCAATCCCCAAATTCCCAAATGCTCAAATCCCAAATCCACAAATTCCCAAGCGCAATTCCCAAATCCCCAAACTCCCCAATCTTACCGAACAGGGGTGGCCATGGCATCCCCAGCCAGGGCGGCGGCAGCGGCAGCCCCGGCACGGCCCCGGCCCCGGCCCCGGCCGGCTCCGGCACAGAGCCAGAACCGGCACCAGCTGCGGCGTCACCGGCACGGGAACCTGCGGGACACAGCGGTCAGGGGCAGAGGGAAAGGGGAATGGGATTTGGGTTTGGGGATCTGGGGTGGGAAGAGGGGAGGAAGAGGATGGGATCTGTGGGATTTGGGGTGGGAAAAGAGGAGGAGGGGGATGGGTTTGGGGTAGGTTTTGGGTGGGATTTGGGGTCACTCACCAGGAGCGGTGCCAGCAGCCGTGGCCGAGCCGTCAGTTCCGGCCGGGGCCTGGACACCGGGCACGGGCGGGAAGGGCCCCATGGGCGGCCAGAACGGGAACATCCCCGGGGGAAAGGGAGGGAGGAGCCCCTGGGGAACTGCGTGGGGAGAGAGCAGCACTGAGAGCCGGGAAAATCCGAATTTCCCCCACATTTCCATGGTCACCGAGCCCGGCACCTCACAAATGGGAACAGCCCCATGGCCAACACCCCGGACTGCCCACGGGGCCTCTCCCTCCTGTCCCCTCTGTCACTCACAGTTTGGGAGTCCCTGTGTCCCCTCCCTGTCCCTCTGTCACTCACAGTTGTGGGGCTGTGGCCCTGCCGGCGCCGCTCCCGGTGCCGGTGCCGGCGCTGGTCCCGGTGGCTCCGGGGGTGCCTGCGCTGGCCCCGGGGCTCGGAGCACGTCCATGCGGCACGTGGGGCACGTCTGCTGCCGCTGGAACCACGAGCGCAGGCAGCTGCCAGGGTTAATCAGCCCCTTAATTAATGTCTTCATCAATGCCACCCCGGGAGACCCCGGCTGCTTTATTCCCATGGCAATAATTAACTCTTTAATTAACTTCCCTCTCATTAGTTATTGGTCCCCAAGACCCCTCCGTGTCCCTCTGACCCCCCTCAAAGGAGTTTAACCCTTGCCTCACTAATGAACCCCTTATTAATTAATCTGGAATTAACTAATGGCTTAATTAACTTTCACTGAGGTGCTGGGGATTGGGATTAGGAAAGGATTGGGACTGGGATCAGGACTGGGACCTGGATCAGGACTGGGATTGGGATTAGGCTGGCAGAGCTGGGGCAGTAACCAAAAACCATCCCCATAATCCCCGGAATTCCCAGAATCCCCGGAATCCCCTGGGAAGCAGCACCTGGTGTGGAAGATGTGGTTGCAGGGCAGACGCTTGGCCCCTGTCACCATCTCCTCACGGCAGATGATGCACACGTTGTCCATGGCCTGCAGCTCCTCGGCCGTGGCGTCGGGATACCTGCCATGGGAATTTGGGATTGACATTCCCAAAAATCCCCCAGCTGCTCCCAAAAATACCCTGGGCTGTTCCCAAAAATCCAATGCACAGAGGGGTTCCCCGGGATTTCGGGTTTTTAGGGTGGACGCATGCAGGGGTTTCCCGGATTTGGGGTGTCACCAATCTGGTGGTTGCCCAGATTTGGGGTTTTTGGCTGGGTCTGGGCACTCACAGCGTGTTCATGTTGCGGATGGCCCGGCGGGACATGATGGCGTCGGTCACGGCCTTCTTGAACTGCCTGGAGCAGAGACAGGGGGTGGGATTGGGATCAGGATTGGGATCAGGATCACAGCCAGCAATGCTCCCAGGCCAGGGGGGTCTCACCTCATGGCCAGGTACATGGGGCGGATGGCGAAGAGCGGGAAGGTGTGAACCTTGATCATGATGGTCATGAAGGCCATGTAGAGCAGCACCTTGATCAGACCTGGGGGAACAACAAAATCACCTGGGCCAAGCCTGGGACAGCCTGCCCGAGGGACCCCAAAATCACCTGGTCTGACTTTGGGACAGTTTGGAGGAGGGGATGGACCTCAAGGTGCAATTCTGGGACTACCAAAGGTCAGCTGTGGTGACCAGTTGAGTCCCACCAAGACTTTGAGTTTTGATTGGCCAACCAAGACAAGTAGAACACCAACACTTTGAGTCCTCATTAATGAACAAAAGTTCAATTAGAAATCAAGACTTTGACTCTCTGCTGATTGTTAGTTTTGGGCTGGTTTCAGGCAAGTTCTGGGTTACTTTTGGGCTGGTATCAGGTAGATTCTGGGTTATTTTTGTGCTGGTGCCAGGCAGATCCTGGGTTATTTTTGGGCTGGTTTTGGGGAGTTGTGTGTTGTTTTTGAGCTGTTTTCCTGACTCCCAACGCTCAAAAAAAATCTGTCAACCAAGTCCAGTTGAAGCCCAGCACCACCTCAACCCCTCATTAAGCAGCCCCTAATTGCCCTCCCCACATCCCCCCGGGCCCAGAGCCCCCCCATACCGGTGAGGAGCTCGGTGTAGAGCATGAACACGGCCTTGTTGTCCCAGGGGTTCTCGTTCTGCAGGTCGATGGAGTGCAGCACGTACTTGATGAAGATGGTGAGCACCATGGTCAGCAGGATGGCGTACTGGGGGTGGGACAGGAGGGGACAGCACAAGTGAGACCCCCACCCACCCCCCGACCTGGGGACACCCCGGGAGGGGGGTGTTGCAGTCTGTAAATCAAGGATCTCTCTGAATTCTTCCGAGAGAAATCAGAGTGCAGGGATTGAATTAAAACCTTTGCACGGATTCAAGTGTATTAAACCACTCACACGTAAAGTAAAGGTGTAAGTTTAAGCTTTAGATGAGCAAGTTTAAATAAGAATAACTTTTAAATGCTTTAAAGAGTAAAGGTCTCAAATATCAGTGTAGAAGTGCAAGGCTGAAAAAAACACAGTCCTAGATACCAGTGTTGAAAATAAGCTTCTGTAGAGGCTCCAGGAACACAGTTGCAGACATAATAAAATTGTAATAAAAATATTGCTTGCATTTTTTTAGACAGAACAAGACAGACTATGGATGTAGTTTAGACATAAATTAACATGCTAAGGAACTAGATTCTAGAAGGTTAAGAATTCTACAATTCTAAATAGGTTAAGGTAATTCTTAACTAAAACTTAATTCTTAGTAAGAATTAACTAATTACTAATAAGTTCATTCTTAACTAGAATTCTAACAGGTTAAGAAGAAATGATTCAAATTTGTGTTTTTGAGTTGTTGGGTAATTTTTGTATAAGAATCTGTGCACTGGGGAGAGATTGGCTTTTGCTTTTGTTCCTGCTCTGTTGCTTTTTCTTCTCACCACCACCATCCTCAGCCAGAAGAAGAGAGAAGCTGCAGCAGCAACATCAGCCCTGCCAGGACCTGCACAGAAGCAGCTTCCACTTCTAATTAAAACTTTACTTCAATTTAGGATTCTACACCAAAAACTTTTAGCACTGACTTGAACATTTGTGACTCTTTGCCTTTCCAGGCCCGATGTGCCTTTGCAATAAACAACTTTATAGCAACCAGTAACTGCTTGGCTCGTTAAAAAAATCCCAAAAACCCGGCGGGGCCGAGGCCCCACCCACCTCGAAGCCGAAGACGAGCTGCACGGAGGCGCCGCGGGTCAGGATGCTGTGGTAGGCGTGGCTGACAAACAACAGGTCCAGGATTCCCAGCAGGAACATCAGGGCTGGGAAAAGGGCACAGGACACCCCAAAAACATCAACGGGGCTCACCCTCGGGAGGAGCTCCGGGGGGGGCGGTTCTACACCCCATCAGAACGAGTGGTTTAATTAACAGATTTCTACACTTCCAGACACAGCTTGGAGCCTCCTCTCAAAATACCAAACTTCCTTCAAAAGTTGGTTTATACACCCCTAAATCCCTCTTTTTCAATTTTGGGAAATCCATCCCTAAATCCCATTTTCCCACCCCATTTTGCCGTGGATCCAGCACCTTGTTTTCGTTCTGCAGAGCTCATTAACGCCCCCCCCCTCCCCCCCACCGCCATGAGCCCCTCGTTAACGAGCTGGTGCTGATTAGGGTAATTAGGGCTTATCTGGCCCCACCACGCTCGGCTGCCCAGGGCTCTGCCCCAAAATTATGCAAATGAGGAGCACTCACAGACTATTCGGAAGTGGAAGAGCCACGAGATGTTGGGGCTCCTCTCCATCTGTGGGGGGAGGAAAACTGAGATTTTCCACAAAAATGGGGATTGGAATGGGGCTGGGGCTATTTTTGAGGTGATTTTGGGCTATTTTGGGGGTTATTTTGGGTTATTTTTAGAATTTATTTTGGGTTGATTTCAGGTTATTTTGGGGGTTGGTTTTGGGGTGATTCTGGGTTATTTTTGGGCTGGTTTCAGGGGGGCTTTGGGTTGTTTCTGAGCTGCTTTCCCGACTCCCACCACTCACAAAATCCACACGGTCCTCAGCCAGCCAGTGGAAGCACTTGAGGAAGAGGAGGAGGGTGAAGAGGGCGACGAAGCGTGGGCTGAAGTCGTCCCTGAAGACGGTGAAGGCCAGGCAGGTCTCGGTCACCGCGTACCACGAGCGCTCCAGGAGGTGCTGAGGGACAGGGCCAGGGACAGCCCCCCAGGCTGAGCCCAAAACGGGGCCCAGAACCTCTGGGAGTTCAAAATTCACCCCAAAACGGGGCTCAGAGACTCTGGGGATTCAAAATTTGCACCAGAGATCTCTTGGAGTTCAAAACCCCCACTAAAAGTGGCACTGAAACGCTCTCAGGGCTCCAAATCCTTCCCCAAAATGCATAAATTCTCCCCCCAAACAGCACCAAAAACATTCCGGGGTGACAAATTCCCCCCAAACCAGCTCTGAAGTTGTCCTGGAGCCCAGACTCGCCCCCAGCCCCCCCCATCCCGTCCAGCCCCTGGTGCTCACCTCCATCTCTGCTGCTCGCAGCTGCCCGAAGAAAACCTTGCCCATGAACTTGCCCAGCAGGAACACCAGCACGAAGGCCTGGATATACAACACCTGCAGGGCCAGGAGCCCCCAAAAGGCATTTTGGGGACAACCTAGGGGTGTTTGGTGCCCAAAATTCACGTCCTGGGGGATGGATGGGGCAGAACCAGCCCTGCTTGGGGTCCCGGTGTTGTCCCACCCCGCTGTCCCCAGGGATTTTTGGGGAGCACCTCAACCCCCACCTGGGCAAAAAGCAGAAGTGAGACACTCTGGGCAGTCCCTCAACCCGTTCCCCGGATTATTGAGAAGTAATTAATGATTAATGAAGCACTCACGGCCATGCTGGGGCTGGATTTGGTGAGGTACACCACGGTGGGGTAGAACTGGTGCTTCAGGTAATAGGCGTGGGCAACCACGGCCGTGGTGAGAGCCAGGCTGCCAGCCATGACCAGAGCTGTGCACAGCATGGCCTCGGCCTGGAAACCATGAAAACCAGGGATTTAAATCCAAAAACAATCCCTGTTCATCTCCAGAATCAGGGGTCAGGCTCCCAGCCATGACCAGAGCTGTGCACAGCATGGCCTCGGCCTGGAAACCACCAGAAACTCGGATTGAACCCAAAAACCAACTCCCACCTCCCCCCAAAATCAGGGATGCAACAGGCCCCGGATTTCAGGGGGGTTTGGGGCTTGACCATAACCTCTAAAAGGTTTTTTAGCTCATTAACGTCTCCTGTGAGTGATAAAAACGGGATTTTTCAAACAGAGCTTTCGGTCCCCGAGGGCGGCGCTGGCTCCTGTCCCACATTCAGGTGGCAGCAGGTGCCGTGTCCCCAGGTGCCACCTCCTTGTCACCAGTTCCCCCTGCCCCTCTGTCCCCAAACCCTCCGGTCCCCCTATGTCCGCCTGTCCCCCTCCCTGTCCCTCTGTCCCCTCAGAGCTCCACGTCCCCCCATGTCTCTGTGCCCCCAAACCCTCCAGTGCCCCCCATGTCCCTCTGTCCCTCCCTTTGTCCCCAAACCCTCCTGGTCCCCTCACGTCCCTGTATCCTCTCATCCCCGTCCCCCCCTCGCGTCCCCTCCTTCATCAGGAACCCAACCTGTCACCGCTCCCTCAGCTTCCCCCGAGCCCCCCTTTGCCTCCGGCCCCTCCCGACGCCCCCCCGGTCCCTTCCCCACCCTCCAAGTCCCGGTGTCGCCCCCGGGACTCACCGGGCCCGACCCCGCCTCAGCCCCCCAGACCGGGCCGCTCCCACACCGGAACCGCCTCAGCGCGCGACACCTCACTTCCGTCTGGACCGCACCACAGCTGCCAGGGAGGACACTGGGGGGTTCACCCACTGCATGGTTCCCCCGGCTCACCGCCCAAACCGCTCCTCCCTACAGACATTCCGAGGGGCTCCTTCCCCTCCTCTTCCCCCGCAAGGGGAGTATGGCGGCCCACAGGCCTCTAAACCCCAAACCGCTGGGCTCCCCCCCTGCATGCCCACGCTTGGTACGGTCCGAGTGGCCCTGCAGCCGGCGCTGAGGTGGGCGGGAACGCCCAGGGTCCCGTGGCTCGCGCTCATTGGCCGGGCCCTGCGGGGCTTGGCCAATCAGAAAAATCCCCCGTGCGGCGCCGCTTGGCCGCCGGCTGTTGCTAGGGGAGGGGAGGCGGGGGCGAGGGGAGCGACCCCCTCAGCTCCCTGGGGAGGCCCAACATGGTCTGGATTTGTCTCTTTTCCCGTTTTTCTCGTACCGCGCGTTACGCTCTATGCTTTGTGTCCGCAGCGCCTTGCCCGATCCTCTTCCCCCCTGACAAACCTCCCCAAGGCCCTCACCGGCGGCGCGGCCGCCCCTCCCTTCACACTTCTCCCCTCACGGCGCCCAGCCAATCAGCGACGTCTCCTCCTCGCCCCGCCCTTAAAGAACAGCAGCCAGTGAGAGGAGCGTGGCTTATTCAATCTCTGCATTGTGATTGGCTGGCGGCGCCGCCTCGCGGCCTATGAAGAGCGGCTCCCGGGAGGGGCGGGGCTCAATTCTCTGCTAGGGAGGAAAAAGGCGGGAAAGCGCCCGAGCTCCTGAGGGGTTTTTCCTTCTTTCGGCGTCAGAAAATAAATTCAGCACCTTAAATCTTACTGAAATATGTCAAGGAAGGAAAACTTAAGTTTGAAAGAAAACTTGAATTTTTTTTCTCATGCGCAGACCAGACAATGTTGTCCTCGACCCATTTTTGGGGTTGGAACAGGGAATTCCTGCAGCAGGACTGAGGTAGAAAGGTATGAGACCGAATTTAACTCGTGGTCACTCGAAGTTTTTGGGGATGAAACGCTTGTTCTGGTTTTCGGAGGATTTAGGGCTCTTTAGGCATTAAAAGGGGTTGGGTTTGGGGGCTTTTGGGGTCACTTGAAGCTTAATGTGGGTTAAATGCTAATTCTCTTTCTGGGGGTCTTTCAGCTGCACTTCAAGCACCCCTCACATTCCAGAACCCCAAAACCGTGCGGTTTTCCACTCAAAAAATGATTTTCCCGTTGTTTTTCTCCTCCCCAATAGGATGCCATGGTGCAGGCCTTCCTCTCCAGGATCTCCAACAAGGTTAGTCCTACCAAAAATACCTTTTTGTTGTATTTTTTTTTTTAAGAAAAACTAGCTTTTTGTTTGAATTTTGTTGGTTTTTTTGCCTAAAGCAGCTGTTTTTCTCCCCATTTTGCAGGACCTGCTGGCCATGGCACCGAGTGCAACACCCTCAGCCTCTTCACTGCCCTGTGAGTCCTTAATTAGCGCCTTAACGAAGCCCTGCCTTAATTACGGCCCTAACACCCTCCCATTCAAGTAGGGATCCTAATGATGACCCCAGTAATTAAATGGGGGCCCTAATGAGGCCCCTGTAATGAACTGCTCTAATGAAGCAAGGGGCTCTCAAGATATTCTTACTAATGAATTAGGGAGCTTTAATTAAGCAGGGAACTCTGATGATACCTCCACTATTGAAGTAGGCAGGCTTAATGAAGTTCCCACTAACGAAGCAGGGAGCCCTAATGATGTTCCTAATAATGAAGTGGGGGTCCTAATGATGCTCCCCCAATCAAGTAGGGGCTCTAATCAAGCCACTTAATGAGACCACTGCTAATGAAGTGGGGAGCCCTAAGGATGCCCCTGATAACGAAGCAGGGCCTTAATTAACCCCAAAGGTGGTTTCATCCCAAATATGGACCCCCTTGGTTTTTTTTTCTTTTGTCCCAAAATTGGCTGTTTTGTTTTTTAAACCCCCCAAAATGGAAAGGGATGGGGATGGAATTGCTCCATAAATCCTGGAGGACGGGGCTGAGCCCCCCAAAAACTGAAGGGGGGGGGGGTTTGTCTTGACCCTGCTGATTTGGGGTGAAACCCCCTGGAATTGGGGCTGTGCCCTCCTCAATTCTCTTTCTTTGGTTTTTACACAAGCAGTTTTGGGGTTTTTGAACCCAACCCCCATTTTTGCTCCCCAGTATCTCTTTCCTGCCGTCTGAGCCCGTGGTTTTGGGTGATATCTGCTCAGTTTTTTCCATTTCCGTGTTATTTGTCACCCACACCCTTCAAACTTGCCCAGAATCGCTCGTTTTCTCCCCAGGGCCCTTCCTGCCTCCACATTTTTGTGCAAAAAATGAATAAAATGGGCAACATGTATTAAAAAAATCACTAATTTTCTTTTTTAAATGGTAAAAAACGCATTAAAAAGGGTGAGTGGCTCTGACCTGGGGGGGTCCATGGCGAGAGTGTCACACGTGCCACACACACAGGAATGGGGCAGAAATGTCACACAATGGCAGACAAACACCCCACAGGTGTCCAGCCCCCACAATGTTCCCCCTAACCCTCGCATGTCCCACCCCTGTCCAGTCCCCCCAGTGTCCTCCCTGTGTCCACTCTCACGTGTCCCACCCCTGTCCGGCCCCCACAGTGTCCCCTCAATGTCCCCCCCGTGTCCAGCCCCACCCACCCGCTGCGGTGAAAATCCCGCAGGATCCCGAGCAGCCCCAAATCCGCCCCGTGTCCCCTCCCCGCGGGCTGGGAGGGAAGGGAGGGAGCGGCGCAGGGAGGAGTCTCGGGGGGGGGGTGGGGGGAGCGGCCTCGCCTTTCTGCTCGAGGAAGTTTGGGGTGAGAAATTCGGCTTTTTGCCGTGTTTTCCCCCAAAAGCGGCGAGCCCGGGAGCGCCGCCCCTGCAGGCAGAGGTAGGAGCGGGGCCCGGGAGGTGACAGCGGGGACTGACGGGGACAGGCGGTGACACAGCGGGAGCGCTCCCAGACCCCGAGCGCGGGGACTCCCGGCTCTTACACAACTCCGGAATGGGGCAGAAACCTGGGAAAAGGGGCAAAGCCTGCCCCAGGGGCCTCCTCCCTTCCCTTCCCGCAGCTGGGGAAGGGCTGGGCTCTGGGGGGGCTCCCCCACCCCGCCCCCCGAGCCCTGGTTTAGCCAAAAAAGGGGATTTTGGGGTGCTGGAGCTGCCTCGGGGGGGTGGAATGGGGGTTGTTGATGGTTTTGCTGGAACTTTGGTGGTTTTTGCTGGGGTTTGAATTCTGTTCCGGTGTTTCTTCCCTAGCAGGAGGGCAGAAGTGGCAGCTGAAGTGCAGCCGGGCCCAGCCCTCGCCCCCAGGCACCTGCCGGGGTTCCAAGCACCCAAAACGGGGTGAAAAGAGGCGATTTCTGTCCCTTCACCCCAAAAACGTACGTGCGGAGGGGGCAGAGGGACCCGGCCCTGTGGGGAAGGGGGACACAGGGAACTGGGGGGACTCCTGGGGGCAGCGTGGGTTGGACTCCCCGTCACCCTCATTTTGGGGTTAATTTGTGCATTTTTGGGGCACAATCCCCGAGTTTTGGGGCATCCCTGACCCTCCCCCCAAAGGCTGTGCTGGGGTTTGGGGGTGACAGAACCCTCCGTGTTCGGCCTGATTTGGGGGCCTGCGCTGCCCCCACCCCTGTCACAGCTCCATCACTCCTTGGTGGCTCTGATTAGCGTTTAATTAACGTGCCTAGTGCTTAATTAACCACCCCAATGCTTAATGAGCCTCCCCAGAGCTCGAGGAAGGCCCTCGGGGTTGGACCCGGGGCCGCGCCCGCGGCCGCACCTCAACCTGCGCGACCAGTTCGGGGCAGTTCCCCTCATTTCCCGGGCCTTTGGGGCTGTCCCGTGTCGGAATTGTCAGGATTTTACTCTGACAGGGCCATTTCCAGGTGAAACACCACGATTTGGGACCCATGTGACCTTCCCTGTCCCTGGAATTCCCGTTTTTTACCCCAAAAAACTCACCAAAATCTCAACTCACCAAAATCTCAACTCACCAAATTTGCCGCAATTTCCTCCTTCCTGGAAGCAGGACTCCAAATCCGGGGGAAATACCCTATTCCCCCCAAAACCCCTATTTCCCCTCAAATTTCCTAATTCCCCCAGAAACCCCAAAAGCCCCCAAATCCCGCCAGACCTTATCCCAGTGCAGCACACCCGTCTCACCCCCGTTTCTCCCTAAGCACACTTGTCCCGTTCCCCGCAGGATGGCAGAGCCGCCGGTGGTGCCGGTGTTCTGCACCGGCGTCTCGGCGCAGGTTCGGCACCAGCGAGCCAAGGAGCTGGGGCTGGGCCAGCACGACAACGCCGTGCGGTACCTGGGCCAGGATTTCGGGCAGCTGGCCCAGGAGTGCCGGCGCTCCGGGACCCTGTTCCGGGACCCCGCCTTCCCCCCGGCCGCCTCCTCCCTGGGCTTCCGTGAGCTGGGCCCCGGCTCTTCCAAAACCCGCGGCGTGGAGTGGAAAAGACCCACGGTGAGCCCGGATCCATCCTCACCAAAACCCCGTGGGTTTGGGACATCCTGAATGTGGGAACATCCCGAATTTTGGGCTTTCCTGCAGGAGCTGTGTCCACGCCCACAGTTCATTGTGGATGGAGCCACGCGCACCGACATCTGCCAGGGAGCTCTGGGTGAGGATTGCTTCTCCCCTGCCCCGCATTTGGGGATTTTGGGGATGGTTTTGGCAGGAATTTGGTGGTTTTGGTCCGTCCCAGGTGACTGCTGGCTGCTGGCGGCCATTGCGTCGCTGACGCTCAACGAGACGCTCCTGCACCGCGTGGTGCCGCACGGGCAGAGCTTCCAGCAGGGCTACACCGGCATCTTCCACTTCCAGGTCAGCCAGCCCCGGCCTTGGGGCTCCCCTCTGCCCTTTGCAGTGCAAATCCCCCGCTTTTGGGGCTCCCACCATCACCTCAGGCCTCCTCTTGTCATTCTCAGATGTTCCCACACCATTTTGGGGCTTTCTTCGCCTTTTTAAGCCTCCCCTTGACCATTTTTGAGGGGATACCCCAAAGTTTTAGGGCTCCCCTCTGCAATTTTGGGGTGACTCCCCCAACATTTTAAGGATTTCCTCATCCATTTTGGTCACACCCCCAATTCTGGGAGGATTCCCCCCATTTTGTGCATTTTCTCATCCCACTTCCTTGTGTCTCCATCCCGTTGTGACAACTCCACTTCCCTACTGCCTTGTAGGACCCCAAACTGGGCATTTTCCCCCCAAAAATCTCCTTCCCTGGATCACCCAGGGGGTTCCTCCTCCTCCTTATCCCCCCAGATCTGGCAGTTTGGCGAGTGGCTGGACGTGGTGGTGGACGATTACCTGCCCACCAAGGATGGGAAGCTGCTCTTCGTGCACTCGGCCGAGGGCTCCGAGTTCTGGAGCGCGCTGCTGGAAAAGGCCTACGCCAAGTACGGCCCCTCCCCTCTCCCTGAGCCCATTTGGGGGGCAGAACCCCCCAGAAACCCCTCTGGGTGCTCTGTAGGGTGAACGGCTGCTACGAGGCACTGTCAGGGGGCAGCACCTCCGAGGGCTTCGAGGATTTCACCGGCGGCGTCACCGAATGGTTCGACCTGCGCCGGCCCCCGGCCGACCTGTACCAGATCATCCTGAAGGCACTGGAGCGTGGCTCGCTGCTGGGCTGCTCCATCGACGTGAGTGAGCCCATCTGGGCGTTCTGGGGGAAAAAGCAGCGGGATTGGGGTTGTTCCTTTCCCTCAGTGACACTGCTGTGGCTCTGTGCAGATAACCAGCGCCTTTGACATGGAGGCTGTGACCTTCAAGAAGCTGGTGAAGGGCCACGCCTACTCGGTTACCGGCGCCAAGCAGGTGAGGGTGGCGCCGATTTGGGGGGAAGTCGGTGGATTTTGGGTCTCCTGACAGCGCCCTCTGCAGATCCCGTACCGAGGGCAGGCCCTGGAGCTCATCCGGATGCGCAATCCCTGGGGAGAGGTGGAGTGGACAGGCGCCTGGAGCGATGGGTGAGGCTTTGTTAGCACCAGGCTCCTTAGTGGTAACGACCCGGCCCTGCTGACCCCGCTGTCCCCACAGCTCGGCCGAGTGGCACGCGGTGGAGCCGGCACTGCGCCAGCAGCTCATGGTCAAGATGGAGGATGGAGAATTCTGGTAGGAAAAGTTCAACTCAAACCCCCTTTCCCAGCTGTTTCGTGCCTGGAAATGAGGGCAAAACTCTTCCTGCAGGATGTCCTTCCGGGATTTCCTGCGGGAATTCACCCGCCTGGAGATCTGCAACCTCACCCCGGATGCGCTGCAGTCCCGCAAGTTCCGCAAGTGGAACACACAGCTCTACGATGGCACGTGGCGGCGCGGCAGCACCGCCGGCGGCTGCCGGAACTACCCCGGTACGAGCTGGGGAATGGTCCTGGGTGTGTGGGGTCTGGCGCCCGCTGAGTCTCCTCTGCCCCCTCTGCAGCCACGTTCTGGATCAACCCCCAGTTCAAGATCCAGCTGGAGGAGGTGGACGATGAGCGGGATGAGGACGGCGGGCGTGAGCCCGGCTGCAGCTTCCTGCTGGCGCTGATGCAGAAGCACCGGCGCCGCGAGCGCCGCTACGGCAAGGACATGGAGACCATCGGGTTCGCTGTCTATGAGGTACTGGGGTCAGCTGAGATCAACTGGCCTTCACTGGGCTCAGTCACCACTAGCTGGGGTCGACTGGAATCAGTTGAGATCAGCTGAGATCAACTGCATTAATTGGGGTCAACTGCAGTCAAATAGGGTCAACCAGCTTCAACTGGTGCCAACTGGCATCACCTAGGGTCAGCTGGGGTTAACTGGCATTAACTAGGGTCAGTCAGGGCCAGCTGGTGTCACTGGTGCCATCACCCAGACCCAACTGGTGTCTGCCGTTTCCCCACAGGTCCCTCCCGAGGTGGGTACCCTGCGCCGGTGGGGCCAGGCCGTCCCGGGGGTGTTTTTGGGGCGGTTTTGGAGCATTTCCCCGATGCCTGCAGTACGTGGGGAGGTCAGGAGTGCACCTGAAGCGCGAGTTCTTCCTGGCCAACGCGTCGCGCGCGCGCTCCGAGCAGTTCATCAACCTGCGCGAGGTGAGCACGCGCTTCCGCCTGCCGCCCGGCGAGTACATCGTGGTGCCCTCCACCTTCGAGCCCAACAAGGAGGGCGACTTCGTGCTCCGCGTCTTCTCGGAGAAGAAAGCCGGCACCGAGTAAGCGTCGCCCGGGCAGCGCCGGCAGCACCCGCCGTGCCCCGTGCTCACCGCTCTGCTCCTCTGTCCGCAGGGAGATGGATGACAAGATCCAGGCCACGCTGCCGGACGAGGTCAGCAGGGGGCGAGCGGGGTGGGACTGGGGGGGTGCTGGAGTGGGGCTGTTACCAAAGTGGCCGATTTTGTCCCCAGAAAGTGCTGTCGGAGAGCGAAATCGATGAGAACTTCAAGCAGCTCTTCAAGCAGCTGGCGGGGCCGGTGAGGGGATGGTGGTGACGGTGATGGTGGCGTTGGTGTTTTGCTGTGATGTCATTGGTTTTCTGTGACATCGTTATTTGACTGCAATGTTGGTTGGCAGTGACATCATTGGTTGTTGATGTCATTTTTGGCCATGACATCATTGGCCGATGATAATGTCACTTGTTGCCCATGACGTCATTGGTTGCCGATGATGTCACTGCCCAGCAGTGACACTGGGGCCACCCCATGTCCCCTTCCCAGGACCTGGAGATCAGCGTCACTGAGCTCCAGACCATCCTCAACCGCATCATTGCCAAACGTGAGCCAGGGCCGGGACTGGGGGGGTTCCACCCCAATTAACCCCAGCCCCTCATTAATTAACCCTGGCCCAAAATTCCCAATTCCAGACAAAGATCTGCGCACCAAGGGCTTCAGCATCGAGTCCTGCCGGAGCATGGTGAACCTGATGGACGTATCCTGTGCTGTGGGCTGGGGGCTTGGGAGGACCCCTGAGCCACTCGGGGCTGGGCTGGGGGGACCCCGGAACCCCACCTGTGCTGGGCTGGGGGCTTGGGGGAACCCCTGAACCCCCCTTTCCTTAACCCCACTTCCCCAGAAAGACGGGAACGGGAAGCTGGGACTGGTGGAGTTCAACGTCCTCTGGAACCGGATCCGCAATTACCTGGTGGGGCTGGGGGCTCTCTCCCGGCTTCTGGGGGGGATTTTGGGATCTCCTTCGTGGGTGACCGCCATTTTTGGGGAGATTTTTGGGTTTCTCTCCTCATGGGAGACCCCTCCTCCACTGTTTTCCCCCCTTTTTTGGGGTGTAATGAGGCAGGTTGGGGTGTGGGATGAAGATTTTGGAGTCTCTCCTTGCCCCCTTTCTGAGGGAACTTTGGGGTACATGGGGTGTTTTGGAGGTCTCCCCTCACGAGTCATCCCCGTTATTTTGGGGGTGATTTTAGGGTATACGGAGGGTGTTTTGGGGGTTTCCCCTTACGAGTCACCCCCGTTTTTTGGGGGGGGGCTGTTCCTTCCAGAGCATTTTCCGCAAGTTCGACCTGGACAAGTCGGGCTCCATCAGCGCCTACGAGCTGCGCCTGGCGCTGGAGGCTGCAGGTGACCCCCGGGGACCCCCAGGGACCCCTCCCCTGCCCCATGGCCCCCAGGTGACCCCGGGTGTCCCCTGTCTCAGGGTACCGGCTGAACAAGAAGCTGCACGAGCTGCTCATCACCCGCTACGCCGAGCCCGACCTGGCCCTGGACTTTGACAGCTTCGTCTGCTGCCTCGTGCGCCTCGAGACCATGTTCCGTGAGCACCTGATCCCAAACGATCCCAAATTATCCCTCCCATACAATCCCAAATGATCCCAAACCATCCTGGCCCTCCCGCCCATCCCACCCACACTTTTCCCTCAGAAATGTAACTTCCCGTTCCCCCCCCCCCAAATCCCCACACCTTTCTCTCCTCTCAGGGTTTTTCCAAGCCATGGACGTGGACCAGGACGGCGTCGTCACCTTCGACCTGCTGCAGGTACTGCTGTGGGGAGGCCTTCCTCCTCTTCCTCTTCTTCCTCCTTCTCCTTTTTCTCCTTCTCCTCCTCTCCCTCCTCTCGCTCTTCCCACACTTTCTTCACCCTCTCCTCCTCTTTCTCCCCCTCCTGCCCTTCCTCCCTCACCCTCTCCTCCTCCTCATCCCCAGTGGCTCCAGCTCACCATGTTTGCCTGACCGGACCCTCCAAGTGCCTTCCACGACCCTGCGCCGGTTTTTTCTCTCTTTTTTGGCTTTTTTCAGCAGGAAAGTCTGGACGGGGGGGGGGATGGGGTGGGGTCACACGGGACCCCCCCCCCCCGAGCTTTGCCAAAGCCCCCCCGTCCCTGCCCCCACCTCACGCTCGGCCCTTTTGGGGCAAATCCTCCCAATTTCGGTGCCTCTTGTGCTGATGGAGCCCCGGCCGTCGCCCTTCGCTTCAGGGATCTGCTGCCCCCGGGTGCCATAACGTGGTTTTTTATTGTATAAATTAAAAATGAGATAAAAACCAAAGGGAAAAAACATCTTATTTAAGTCAAAACTCCTTTTTCTGGCAGTTCTTTCTCCCATCAAGGTGGGGGGTGAGGGGTTCTCGAGGTGCTGCAAAATAGCAGATTTAAAAATAATGGGTTTAAGAGTTGTCTAGGGGTTATAGATCACAGATTTGGGGTTATATTTATATATTTTTGGGATGTCTTGGTGGTTGTGACTTAAAACCCGGGGGTGTCTCCTGGGCAGGGGGTGAAGGACGAGGCTGCCACGACTCGGAGGGGGTGAGGGGCCAGGGAGGGAGGGGACCCCGGACCCGGGGCAGAGCAGGACCCCCCCCATACCTGAGCAGGACCCCTCAGGCCCGGTTCGACCTTCCAGACCTGGGCAGGACCCCTCAGGCCTGGTTCGATCCCCCTGAGGCCCGGTTCGCCTCCCCAGGCCCGGTTCGGGAGCGGTTCCCTCAGAGCCCCCTCAGCCCCGCCCCCTCAGCGCTCTGAGGGCGCGAATTTTCCCGCCCTTTTTTCCTCCCGCCCTTTTCCCCTCCCACCCCCGATGGGCGGGGTTTGGAGCCCGCCGGTCACGCCCCTTCACCCGCCCATCCCGCTCCCATTGGTCCGCTGCGTCTAAATCTGCATAGGCCCGCCCTTTCCCCGCCTCTTCTCCTTATACGGCTTGGTCACGCCCCCTCCCTCGCGGTTCGAGCGCGGCCATGGCGGAGCCGGGGATGGAGCCGGAGCCCGAGCGGGGCCGGGAGCCGGTGACGGCCGAGGCGGTGCTGAGGGAGCTGCGGCTCTTCGAGCTGCGCTGCCAGGGCGAGGAAGTGCCCGACAAACGTGAGGGCTCCAGGGGACGCGGCTTGGGGGGGAAGATGGGAGGGCTAGGGGAGGAGGAAGAGAGTTTGGGGGACTGGGGAGGTGTCGGGGGAGCTGTGAGGAGTTTGGGGGGCTGAGGGTGTCAGGGGAGGTGGGAGGGGAATAGTTGGTTTATAAGGGGATAAAAGGGTCTGTTGTGGGAAATATTTGGTTTATGGGGGCCAGGATTTTGGGAGCTGCCAGCTTTTGGGGGGCACAAAGGATTGAGGGGGTGGTTGGGGGGGTACCCAAGGGTTTGAGCGAGGGTCTGGGTGGGATTTGGGACCCCTCTGATCCCTCTTCTCCCTGCAGTGGTGGAGCTGTGCCTGACCCACGGGCTGGGCCCAGTGGCCTTGGCCAACGAGCTGCTGGCCTTTGTCACCAGCAAAGACCTCGACCCCCAGCTCACCCCGGAAGGTCTCGAAGCCTTCGAGCACGAGGTGGGGTTCCCGATTTCCCCCTGCACCCCAAAACCCCTGAAGGGAGCAGGGAGCACTCACTGCCACCCCTGTCCTGCTGCCCCAGGTGCTGGCCAAGCGTGGCAGCCGCGGCCGGCGCGGCCGGGACGAGCGCCGGGGGCTCCTCCACGACATCCACTCGCTCCAGGAGCTGTATCCCGACATCCTGGGGATAACCCGAGCGCTTTGGGTGGCTCTGGCAGGACTTGGGGGCCTGTGAGCTGTCACAGATCCTCAGCAGAGGCCTGGGAATGGGAGGAATTATTGGATTTGGGGGTCCTAGGGGGCTTCACCCCAAACCAGGAGCGTTGGTGCCCCTTAACGAGTGTCAGCCTCAGCGAGGAGCAGGAGGACGAGCTGCTGGACGCCTACACCACCCCATCCAAGGTGGGCATCACCCCCAATCCACGGGCTTTGCCTTCAAACCAGCCTGGAAACACCTTTATTTTTGTGCCTGTTCCCTCCAGGGCTCCCAGAAACGCAGCAATTCCACACCAGAGACGCCCCGGCCCAAGCGGGCGCCGTCCTCCCGCAGCCCCTACGGGCTCTTCTCCCCCGGCAGCTTCTCCCCGAGGTGGGTCAGGGCTCCTGAGGGGCTTCTTTAAACCACAGCTCCATCAACTCACCCTTTTTCCCCTCTTTTCTTCCTTCCTTTCCTGTAAAATTACACCATTACGAAGTTGATATGGAGCACTTTAGAGCTGTAAATCTGGGGGGAATTGTTCAAACCCCACTGAACTCCTTGCAATTATAAAGCCTCTAAAGCTACAGACACGTTGTCATTTTAAAAACCTCATTAATCAACACAAACCATTAAACACTAAAATTCATCCCTTTAACCCCCATTTATCTTTTTGTGCTCAGAACGGTAACAAAAAGGAGGAGAACTCAAAATCCGTGGAGTTTTTGGGGCGGCCCCGTCCTGGCCTGAATCCCCCTTGGTCTTCTTGTCCCCACAGTGTTACCCCCTCCCAGAAATATTCATCCCGTGGGGGCCGGGGCGAGGTCGTGGCCTCGTTTGGCTCCGCCCAGGGCCCGGCCTGGAGCGGCCGCGGCGGCTGCAGCGTCCGACTCTTCGGGCAGCCCGAGCAGAACCTCAGAAAACCCTACAAGTTCATGTTCCAGAAAGCGCTGGACGTGCGGGAAGGTGCCCGGTCGGGGGAGGCTTGGGGACACCCTGGAGCGGGGGGAGGTCAGGGGCTGGTTGGGGACACAGGGTTGGGGTCAGGGGCTGTTTCGTGACACAGGGTTGGGGTCAGGGGCTGGTTGGGGACACTGGGTTGGGGTCAGGGGCTGGTTGGTGACACTGGGTTCCCCCAGTGCTGGCTGGGCGGGTGGAGGAGCTCGGGGAGGTTCTGCGAAGGCACCATGGCCTGGACGGCTTCAGCTCAACTGCACTGCCAGCTCAGGTGAGACCCCAGCCCCATTTGGGGTGAATCCCCCCCCCCGTTTTGGGTTAAACCGCCCTTGTTTTTGGGGTCACCCCATTTTGAGTTAAAGCATTGTGTTTACCATTTTGGGGTAACACGTTTTTGGGGTCCCACAGGAGCCGGTGACGGTGCTGGGGCAGATCAGCTGTGATGGGAACGGGAAGCTGAACCCCAAATCCGTGCTGCTGGTGGGGGACAGGGAGCACTCAGGGGGGGCCCAGGTCCCACTTGACCTCTCAGAGCTGCCAGAATATTCCCTGTTCCCAGGACAGGTGAGGTTTGGGAGGTTCTCCTTCCCTCCCTGCCCCTTTTCCCCCATTCCCACACTTTTTCCCCAATTTTGCCCTGTTTTGCCCCAATCCAGGTGGTGGCTCTGGAAGGCACCAACAGCACGGGCAGGAGGATGGTGGTGTCCAAGCTCTACGAGGTGACCCTGCTCCCAGGGCCTTTGGGGGGGCTTTGGGGGGGATTTGGGGCACTTGGAGACATCCCCAACTTTCCCACAGGGGGTCCCGCTGCCTTTCCACACCCCCACGGAGCCCATGGCAGGTGAGCCCTGAGATTTGTCCCCAAATCCCCATTTCTGTTCCCAGATCCTATTTTTTGTCTCCAGCTCTGATTTTTTTTTTCCCCCCCCAAATCCTCGTTTTTGTCCCCAAAGTGCCCTTTGGATTCTCCTTTCCCCCATTTTGATTCCCCAAATCTCCCTTTCTGTCCCCAGACTCCCCTGATTGTCCCCAAATCCCTCTTTTCCCCTCCCACACTCCCTTTTCACCCCCAAACTCCCTTTTTCAATCCCAAATCTCCCTTTTTATCCCTAAATCCCCTTTCCTCTTATCCCCAAGCCACTTTTTCTCCCCATCCCCTCTTCCTTCCTCCCCACATTCCCATTCCCCAAACCCCCCCATTTTTGATCCCTATTCACCCCAAACTTCCCCTTTTTTCCCCCAAACTCCCTCTTCCCCCAGAGCAGAGGATGGTGCTGGTGGCCTGTGGCCCCTTCACGCCCTCGGATGGCGTCGCCTTCGAGCCCCTGAGTGACCTCCTGGAGGTTGTGGCCCGTGACCGCCCCGACGTTTGTGTCCTGGTGAGGGCATCCCAATTAACCCCTCATTAACGATCAATATTTAATTACATCATCATCATTAACCCAATCCTGCACCCCTCACCCGGACCCCACAGCCTCCAAATGCTTGGGAGGTTCCAAACCCTTTAAAATCCCATTTCTGAACCCCAAAATCCCCATTTCTCACCCCAAAGTGACAGAAAAGCTCCACTTTTAGAGCAAATGCTGCCCTTGGAGTTAAACTCTGATTCCCTGCCTGGACACCTGGACACAACACATCCATTTCAGCAATTTCCCCTTTTTGTTCTCATTTTGCCCCGAGATTTTGGGGCTGTTGGCTAAAATCATTCATGAGAGTTATTACAAATAATTAAAGATTAAGGTTTTGAGGGTGATTTAAGGGGGTTCTTTGCTGTTTTCCCACAGCTGGGGCCGTTCCTGGACGCCAAACACGAGCAGGTGGAGGTGAGGAGGGATCCCCCCCAAAACCCCCTCAGTCCCTGTGGATCTGGGACAGCACCCAGTCCCCCAAAACCTCTGGAAATTGTTCCAGTCCCATTGTTCTCCCCCAATTCAGAGCTGCCAGCTCCTGGGCTCCTTCTCTGACGTGTTCAGGCTCTGCCTCAGGACCATCATCGAGGGCACCCGGAGGTGGGCACAGGGACAGCCCCAAACCCCTCATTCCCGTGGGGATTTTTCCCCAGAATCACTGCTTTTCACCCCAAAAATCTCTCCTTTTCCCCCCAGTGCTGGCTCCCAGCTGGTTCTGGTGCCCTCTCTCCGAGATGTCTCCCACGATTTCGTGTACCCCCAGCCTCCCTTCCTCTTCCCAGACCTGCCCAAGGAGGACAGAGCGGTACCAGCCCCAAAATTCTCCTTTTTCACCCCAAAAAATGAATTCCCACCCCTCCTGTTAACCCTATCTGGGATTTGGGGCGAATTCCCTCGTTTTCCCCACCTGGGATTTCCTGCCACAGCTTCCAAGGGAACAAAGGATTTGGGATTGGAATTTCAGAGCTCCCAACGCCCTCCCCCAGCCCTTTTTGGGTTCAAATCCCCTCATTCACTGATTCTTTATTCCCCCTCATTCAATTATTCTTTATCTCTCAGGAGCAGATCTGATGCTCCTGCAGAAAATCCAGCTCAGCCCCGGGGATTTTGGGGAACATTTTGAGGTTTTAAGGAAAACTTGGTGGGATTGGGGTGGTTTTGGGGTGACTTGGAGCCGATTTGGGGCACTCTGGGGTGGGTTTGGGGCACTGTGGGGCTCCCCAGGCTGTCCTGGTGTCCAGCCCCGTGTCCTTGTGTCCAGCGTGTGCTCCTGGTGCCCGAGCCCTGCACCCTGGATATCGACGGTGTCATCTTCGGCCTCACCTCCACCGACCTCCTCTTCCACATGGGGGCTGAGGAGATCAGCAGGTGCCCCTTTTGAACCTTGTCGCCCTTTTTTTGACCTTTTTTCCCTATTTCTTTAACATTTTCCCCCTTTTGTTTAACTTTGCCCCCACCTTTTCTTTAATCTTCCCCTTTTTTAATGTTTTCCCTTCTTTTTTCCCCTTTTCTCCTCTGCCTTTTCTCTCTTCCCTTCCCCCTCAAATCCCCTCTTCACCCCCTGTTTTCCTTTCCCATCTTCCCCTTTTCCCCCATCCCTTTTTCCCCCATTTTCTCCCTTTTCTCACCCATTTCTCTCCCGTTTCTCCCACAGCTCCTCCGGGATCAGCGACCGCTTCACGCGGATCCTGCGGCACATCCTGACACAGCGCAGGTGCGACCTCCCAAAAAACGCCTCTTTTCTCCCCAAAATGACTCTTTCCTCCCCTAAATCACCTCCTTTCTCCCCAAACCCCCGCAGTTTCTACCCCCTGTACCCCCCCTCCGAGGAGCTCAACGTGGATTTCGAGGCCCTGGCGGCGTTCGCGGCGCTGCCGGTGACCCCCGACGTGCTGGTGACCCCGTCCGAGCTGCGCTTCTTCATCAAGGTCAGAGGGACCCCAAAATTCCAGAGGGAGACCCCCGACGTGCTGGTGACCCCGTCCGAGCTGCGCTTCTTCATCAAGGTCAGAGGGACCCCAAAATTCCAGAGGGACAAAAACACGGGAGGGGCTGGGAGGGACCCAAATCATCCCAAACCAGCGGATTTTGGGGTCTGGGTGGGCTGTGGGGTCCCAGTATGGATTTGGGACACCTCTGATCGCTGTCCCCTGTCCCCTGCAGGACGTCCTGGGCTGTGTTTGCATCAACCCCGGGCGCCTGACCAAGGGCCGGGCCGGGGGCACCTACGGGCGGCTGCTGCTGCAGAGGGACAGAGCTGGGGACAAAACCAGCGACAGCTCTGGGGACATTCCTGGAGAGAATCCTGGGGACAAAGCCAGGAACGGTCCCGGGGACAATCCCAGGGACACCCCCCGGAGCAGCCCCTGTGTGGCCGCCCAGGTCGTGAGGATTTGAACTCCCAGCTCTGCCTGTTCCCCACCCACGGCTGCAGGACCAGGAATTGGGGTTAGAACTCCAGGAATTCTGGTAAAAAACTCCTGGAATTCTGATTAAAACCCACAGAATTGTTTGGCACAGGAAGAGTTTCCCCAGCAGGAATTTGGGAAGGGAATCCCGGCGTGGGATCCTCTCTGTCCTGGTGTCACCCCTGCTTTCACTGGCCTCATTAGGGGACTTGGAGTTTAATTAGTCCAAAACCAATTAATTACGGATTCCTGGTGCTGCTGCTTCCCAGAAAAACCAGCTCCAGGTTTTGGCTTTGACCCTTTTCCCAAACCTTTTGCCCCAAATTTATGATGATGAAGGTGAAAATTTAATTAAAGTTTCTGCCTGTCCTGGTGTCGTTTCCTGAGGGAAAAAAGTAAATCCAAGGGGGGGTATTTTGGGGTAAAACCAGGGAAAATTGGGGCTGGGGAGAGAGATTCCCCTCACAACTCCAGAGTGGGGCCAGGACTTTCCCAAAAATCTCCTTTTTCTCCCCAAATATCCCCATGGAGTAGCTGGGAAGTGTCGAGGTCACCTCTGGCTGTCACATCCCAGTTCCTTCCCTGGTCTTTCCCCAATTCCAGCACTTTTCACCTCAGATAAAATACAGTTTTTCCAACATCCATAAAATCTCTTTTTCCTGATTTTTTTCTTCCTATTTCCAGTTTTATTTCCTTCTTTTTTTTTGCGTGGGAGGGGAGCAGAATCCCATTTCTCCCCAGTTTTCCCCTTGGGTTCTTCTCCCCCAGCCTCAGTTTCACTTGGGAAAACCCCGATTTTGGTAAAACCAGCAGCAGAAAGAGCCAGAGCTGTGTCCTAGGGGAATTTTGGGACTTTCGACCCTTCTCCACCGTTCAATCCCATCCCATACTCGGGATTTAATTCGGGAATTCCCGAGGATTTGGGGGCGGGGAGCTGATCCCGATGGGATTTTCCAGCCTTTTTTTTTTTTTTTTTTTTTTTTCCTACGGGGCTTTTTTTTTTTCCCCGGGGAGAGGCCGAGGGAGTTCCTGGAATTCCCGGGAAGGGAAGCGAGGCCGGGGTGGGGGCCTGGAATCCGCTCGGGAGCGCCGGAGCCGATGCCGAATCCTGGCCCCGATCCCAGGTGGGGATCCCGGGATCCGCAGGTGACAGCGCCGGGAATTGGGAAGGGGAAGGGATGGAGGAACTCGCTCGCAATCCCGGGATGCTGCAGGGGCGGGGGGAAGGCGGGCAGAGCTTTTCCTGCGGCGCTGTCACCTCCCGGATTTAAAGGGAAAGGCAGCGATTCCTTCCTTTTATCCCGGAAAACAAACGGCGGATCCTTCCCCCACAGCCCCCCCGCCCTCTCCGCTTCCCTGCTTAATTAAACCAGCGCTTAATTAGAGGCCCCCGGCTCCGCCCGCTCCCGGCTTAGAGCAGCGGCGGAGGCGCGGAACGGCCCCGGAAAAGCGCCTGGAGACCTGGAAAATCCTGGAATAGCCCTGGAACAGCTCCTGGATCCCCGGAACGGCCTCTGGATCTCTGGAGCAATCCCTGAATCCCTGAAATAGCTCCTGGATCCCTGGAATAGCCCCGGATCCCGGCCCGGCGCACAGGAGAATCCCTGGATTTCCAAACCCCCGGATTCCCGAACCCCAGGATTCCCGGATCCCTGCATTCCCGAACCCCCGGATTCCTGCATTCCCGAATTCCCGGATCCCTGCATTCCCGGACCCCCGCATTTCCAAGGCGTGTCCGGGCCCGAGCGGACTCCGGCCCCGTCCCGGGCTGTGTCCGCTCCCCGCGCGGTTCCGGCCCGGGAGGAGCCGCCCGCAGGAGCCGCTGTTGTTTTTTCCCGGATTTTGGCTTTTTCCGTGGATTTTTTGTCACCGGGGTGTGGCCGAGGCCGGAGCCGGCGCTTCCTCATCCTCCAGCTTCCCTCTGCAATTCTCCCGAGCCCCTGAAATCGGGATTTTCCTGGGAAAAGGGAGGAGCCCCCGGCACGTCCCGGTGTCCGCTGGAATGGAATTGTCACCGCTCCGCTGCCCCCGGCCCGGATTCTCCGCTGGATTCCCCAGGTGGGACGGGATTAAGGGAATTCTTTCTCTGTTTTAACCCATTTTTAACCAATTCCAGCTTTTCCCTTGGGGTCGGATCCCACAGACGGGTCCAGGCGCCTCTCCCAAAATCCCCATTCCCTAAAAAAAACCCCCCAGCCTTCATCCCAAATGGTTCTTCCTCCTCTCTCCCGCTCCGAGACCGCAGGGAAATGAGGCATTTCCATCCTTTTTTTTTTTTTTTTGGGAAAAATCCCAAAGCTCTGGAGCGAGCCAGGGGCAAATCTCCTTCCCAGGGGCAGATTTGGAGGCGAGGATTTAAATCGGGCACCAAAAAAAAGGCTCGGAAGGAGAGGAATGGGAGGAACTGGAGGAGTTTTTGGAAGCTGCTCCTCCCTCGGGCCATTCCCTTGGGAAAAGGAGATTTAATTCCATCCCTGAATCCCCACTTTGGGAAATGGAATTGCTCGTGGAGACACCGGGGTGGGGAAGGGCTGCTCTGACAGCACCAAAATTCCCGAAAATTGTCCCAACCCCCCCCAAATTCCTGTGGGGCAGAGCCCAAAATGCTGGAAATGGGTAGGAAGTGAGAAATTTTTATGGAAAAATGGTGGGAAAAGTAAAAAAATGTTGAGGTCCTGAAGCTCAAGGGGCTGAAAATGGGCAGAAAAGTTCACATTGAGGTAGAAATTTCCAAAACCAGGGGGAAAGAAATGAAATTTGCAGGTTGTGAGAGGTAAATTTGTGGCAAGAGGCAAAAAGATCCCAAACTTTTCCTCAGTCAAAGCCTGAATTTCCAAAAATAGGTGGAAAATGAAATGCACTGAAGCCCAAAGTGCTGAAAAAAGAACAAAAATTTCCTCTAATTTGCGAAAAGGAGCCCAAATTCTTCCCAATCCAAACCCAAAAAATGGGTGGAAAGGAGCGAGATTTCCTCTATAGAAGATGGAATTGATGGAAACAGGGAAAAATTCCTCAAATTTTCCTCCCTGGGAATCGAATCTGCTGATTCAGGCGATTCCAAGGGGTCGGAGTCCTGGGAGCGTCTCCTGGAGCTCCTCCCACTCAGATCTGGGGAAAACATCCTTTTTTTTTTTTTTTTTTTTTTTCCTTTTTCCCTGTTTTCCTCCTTCCTGACTTCCTTCTGGGGTGTCCTGAATTCTCCTGGGATTTTAGGGATGCAAACTCCCAGAAATGAGTTTTTAATTGGATTTATTTTCCCAGCCCATTTTCCACCTGCAGGGAATGAGGAGTGCCATGGGTTTGCCTGGGGGGAAAAAAAAAATCCCCAGAAAGTTCCGTGAAAAGGAGGTTTTTTTGGGGATGGGGTCCCCCCATTCCCGGGGATTTCTCTGTCCCAGCACAAAGGGAGCAGAGCTCGGGAACGTTCCCAGCTTTTCCCGGGGCTTTGTCCCGGCCCAGCCGAGCAGGAGAGCCCGGGGGGAGGGATTTGGGGTCAGGGAGGGCAGTTTGGGGTGGGAAAAGAGAATTCCTGCAAGGGAACGATCCCAGGGCACTGAGGCTCCGGGATGTGCATCCCCACCATCATCATCATCATCCTCAGCCCCACCTGGGAATTCACATTTTGGGGGCTGATTTTCCTGCAAATCCATCCTTTTCCTTACAAATCCACTTCTTCCCCCCACAAATCCATTTTTTCCCCTCTACAGTTCCATTTTTCCCCTACAACCCTGCTTTTTCCCCCCCTATAAATCCATTTTTCCCCCCCTCCCACCTCATTCTTTTCCCTACAATTCCCCTCTTCCAATGGCTCCAGTGGTTCCCCAGGGCCGTGGCCCCGATCCTGATCCCAATGGAAGGATCCTTCTCTGTCCCTGTGTCTCTGTGCCCATCCCTGTCCCCTCTCCTGTCCCTGTCTGTGCCATCCCGGTGCCGCCGCCCCCTCCCGTCCCGCGTTAATCCCGGGATTAGCAGCGCTGGATTCTGCACTGTCAGGATTCTCCTGCCCGGAGCCGCCGGACGGGGCCGGGCCCGGCGCCGATTCCGGGATCGCCCCGGGATCCTCTTCCCTCCCTTTCCCTCCCTGGATCCTCTTCCCTCCCTTTCCCTCCCTTCCCTCCTTTCCCTCTCGGCCTCGGGAGCGTCGCCAGCACGGGTCGGTAACGGGGTCTGGGGGGAAGTGGGGAAAAAACGGGGGAGAATAGGAGAGAATTCCATAAAAATGGGCGGTAATGGGGGAGTATTCCATGAAAATGGGAATTTCATAAAGACATGATAATGGGAGGAAGTATTTCCTAAGGAATAAGGGATAAAGAAGTGTTCCCTAAAAACAGGGATGATAAGGGAATATTTCCTAAAAACAGGAATTATAAGGGAATATTCCCTAAAAATAGGGGATAATGACACAGTAGTCCCTAAAAATGGGATAATAAGAGAATATTCCCCAAAAGCAGGCAATTGTGAGGGAATATTCCCCAAAAGCAGGGCCTAGGCAGCAGCAGTCGGGATCAGGGAGGTTGGGAGGTTGAAGGGGAATTGGGATTTTCCATCCCTCGGGGCATTGCTGCTGTTGTTGTGTTTTTAGGGACAAGTCCTGGCCGCTCCCCCGGGACTTTTCTGGGTCAAATTCTGCCCGGGAGAGGCCCCTCAGGGTGTCCCAGCCCGAGACAAACCCATCCCAAAAATCCCAAAATCCCTCCCGAACTGCCCCGTCTTTGCTGGCAGTGCGGGATCGGCTCCATGTTTACAAAAACAGGGATGGACGGATTTTTTTTCCCTGAAAATTCGTGATAAGGGTAAAAACCTCTAGAACTTCCCACTTGCTGATTTAACAGAGAACATTCAGGTGGCCCCAAACCCATCCCATCCCTTTTTCCCTCCCAATGAGGCATCTCCCAGAGCTGGACACATTCACAGCACCAAAATTTCCCATTTTTGCCTCATTTCTCCCCACAGTTGTAAAATCAACCCAGATCCGATGTCTGAACTCAGAGTTCACAGCTAAAACAGAGGAAACCCCAACTTCCTTCCCCTTCTGGCCCCAAATCTCCAAAATCTCTTGTTTTTACTTCAGCTGGGCTGGGTGGGGCCGAGGTGAGAAAATCCCTTTTGGTTAAAACGCCTCTTCCCAACGCTCTGCTGTAACTCCCCAGCCCGATTCCTGGCTGACACCACATCCCCTCTGCATTTCCCCGTGCCTGGGTTTCATTACCTGCTGCTCTGGGCACCGGTACCGCGGCAGGGGAGCAGCGTCTGGAGTTCATTGCCGACCCCCGTTGTTGTGTCAGAGCTCGGCACTGAGCGCTCCTCTCTCTCTCTCTCTCTCTCTCCTCACTCCAGGCTGTCCTGAGGCCGGCTGGCGCTGGCCACCATGGCCACCAAGGTGCCCATCTACCTGAAGAGAGGCAGCAGGAAGGGCAAGAAGGAGAAGCTGCGGGACATCCTGTCCTCGGACATGATCAGCCCCCCTCTGGGGGATTTCCGCCACACCATCCACATCGGCAGCGGCGGCCAGGGCGACACGTTCGGGGACATCTCCTTCCTGCAGGGCAAGTTCCACCTGCTGCCCCGCGGAGGCGCCGAGCCCGCGGCAGCACCGGAGCCCTTCGAGTTCTCGCGCACGGCCACCATGTCGGGGGCCGAGGTGGCCACGGCGCCGTCGCCGCTGCTCAAGAACGCCATTTCCCTGCCGGCCCTTGGCGGCGCCCAGGCGCTCACCCTGCCCTCGGCGCAGGCCCCGCCGAAGCCGCCGCGGCTGCACCTGGATGAGACGGTGTCACCGGTGGTGTCACCGGTGTCCCCAGCGTGTCCCCGCAGCCCTCGGGCCACCAACGGCGAGGCCGAGCCCCTGGTGTCGCACGCGGGCTCGCTGCTGTCCCTGCACGTGGACCTGGGCCCGTCCATCCTGGAGGATGTGCTGCAGGTCATGGACAGGCACCAGGCCGAGCGCGGCGCCCGCCCGGAGGTCCTGACGTGAGGATGAGGATGGTGAGGGTGATTTTTGGGGGTTTTTCGGACGTGGATCTCGCCAGGTGAGGGTTCAGCCTCGGGACAGAACCAAAGGGACCTCCCCGAGCTGTCCCAGGCTCGTCCAGTGCCGGCGCTGAGCACAGGAAACGCAACCCTGCTGGAGCCCACGGGATGAATTCCCAAAAATTCCGGGCAGGAGGATTTGGGGGGACAGCGGGGTTTGTTCTCATCACGGCGGTGCCACCTCAGCTTCTGCTCCTTTAAATCCTTTGGGAACCCCACGTATCGGGAAATCTCCACCGGGAAATCTCCACCAGACTTTGTATCCCCGGAGAAGCCAAAACTCTCCCTGGAGGAGCTCACATTTCCCAAAGGAGATCGTTTTAGGAACTCAATCCATGGAGGAGCCAAAAATCCCCTCTGGGGCAGAACTGGAGCGACAGGAGCAGGGCTGGAATCGTCACTGAGATTCCAAAACAACCCAAAATCCCAGAGTGAGGCGCAGGTGGACTCTGGCAGCGGGGCTGGGATGGGAAGGAGGGAATGCCATGGGGAATTCCGGCTGGATTTTGCTGGAAACGCTGCTGGGGCTGGCTCGGGGACAGGGTGGGACCAGGCTCCTTCCATGAATTCCATCCTTTCACCGATTCCTGGGAATTTCAGCCCAGAAGGAGGCCGGGATCTGGGGCGGAGTCGTGTCCCCTCCCGTCCCTCAGTTCCTCATTGCCTAACGAGTCTAATTTAGATTATCTGACTAATGACTCATTAGATTCTCGAGCTCCTGGCTCGTTAACCAACCCTTGTCCCGCCTCTTCCTTCCGGAAACCCGAACCACTTCTGGTGAGAACACCCAGAATTTGGGGAACAACCCGATCTTCCAAGGTTTTCATCTGTAAAATAATTAATTAGGCTCGATCAGCTCCAGGTTTAATTTCTATTTGGTCCAGCTCTTCCCTGCTCTAAACTCTTTTCTCTCCCCATGCTCTTTTAACTTATTTCAGGATTTTTCCTCCCCAAACCAATTCCAGGACAGAGCTGTTTCAGAGCCTCGTTTGTGATTAATTAACCCCAGGGATGTGATTAATTAACCCCAGGGACGAGAGACTTTGATGGGAAAGTGACTCCGTGTCCCCTCCTGTCCCACAAACACACCCCAGCTGCTGCTCAGACAAACAGCTTGAAGGGAATCCAGCCCACAACAGCTCAACTTGGGCGGCTTTCAGTGGTCTGGGGGCTTTCCAGCGTGGCGTGGGCTGGGACAACGTGGATGCACTTTTTTCCCTGGACTTCACCCCAGTTTTCCTGGGTTCCACCTCCATCAGTGATTTAAAGCTGGAGCTGTTTGTGCTCCACCAGGAATTGCGAAATTGTTGCTGCCGGAGTCGTTTTGCAATAAGCAGAATCAGCCAAAATCCCCTTTTTTCCCCAGTTTTGCCCCTTTTCTCCCTCAGTTTTTTTCCCTTCCACGACCCAGGGCTGGATTTTGGGGTGTTCCAGCTTTAATTTGGGACTTGATTTTCCCCTTACTCGTTCCCCTCTGCTCCAGTCTTGGAAAAGTTCCTTTAATTTGCCAGATCTTGGGTTTTTTTACCATAAAAAGTTGATTTTACTTTTCTCACCCCTCTCCTCTTTCCCCTCTTCCCTCCCTCTTGCACCTCTAACACCACACTTGCTATAAACCCCTGAAATTATCCCCAAAATTATTGTTATTATTCCTGAAATTAACCCAAATATCACTTTATCCCTAAAATGTATTTTTTTCCCAATCTCACCTCCTGCAAAAAAAACCCCACAAATTCCTTAATTAATTTTTAATCACTAATAAACCATTTGGGATCCCTTTCCACTGGAGCCTCCTTCACTTCTCCCTTAATTAATCCCTCCCTGAAATAACGATTTATGCAAACCCCTGTTGCCAAACTCGGCTGATTTACTCCCAATTCCAAGGATTTGAGTCATCCGGAGCAGCTGTGACTCAGCGCCCACTCCCCTCCCTTCCTGGGGAGTTCATTCCGGAATCAATCAAGGATGGAATCATTAATTAATTAGCCCCAGCAGGGGCAGAGCTCCCGCCCCCCTCCCTCGTTATCCCTGATTAACGCCGCCCACGCCAGGAACAGCCGGCCTGGGATTACCAGGAGGAGGAAGAGGGAGGAACGTTTGACCAGGGGGTGACCTTGGGGGAAAAAAAAGTAAAATTCTCAGCAAACAGGGAAAAAAAACCACAGGTGGGATGTGGAAGTAAGGAGGAAAAAGAGAGAGGAATTCACCTGGAAGTTGACATCAAACCTCGCTTGCTGTGGGATCTGTGCGTGACCTCTGTCCTGGGGGATGAATTTAAGGATAGTTGGTTAATTTAGGTTTGGTAAAAAGGGAAAAGAGCTCCAAAATGGGAATTTTTGGCAGGAATTTTTTGGAGATGAAGAGGCTTGAGGGGTGGCTGGGTTTGGTTGAGATCATAAGCAGACCTAGGGAATCTGCAGAGATTTGGGATCTGTGCATCCCCATGTGCCACATCCAGGCTTTTCCTGGGATAATTCCAGGACAGCAATACCACCACATCCCTGGGCAGCCCGTGCCAGGACAGGATAACCCTTTCAATAAAGGAATTTTCTACTGAATAAACTTCCCCTGCTGCAACTCGAGGCTGTTTCCTCTTGTTTTATCCATCGGGAGAAAGGATCTCTCCCTCAGCCTCTTTCCAGGGAATTGTAGGGAGCAATGAGGTCTCTCAAACCTCCTTTTTCCAGGATAAACCCCGTCATGCTCTACCATCATTTCCCCCTGACTCTCTGTCTATGTCTCCCTCACTCTCCCGCCTTGTTCTCTCCCATTTTTTCCCTCATTCTCCCCCCATCTTGTCACTCATTCTCTCATCATTTTCCCCTCACACTGCCCCCTCCATTTTCCCCCTCAGTCTTCGCCCTCCATCTCCCCCCATATCCCCCACTCTGCCTCCCTCCTTCATCCCCATCCCCTCCCTTTCTCCCCGTACCTTCATCCTCCCCTTTCTCTCGGACTTCTCCCTTTTCCGTGCATTTTTCCCCTCAGATCCTTTTCCCGCCATTTTTCCCCTCAGGCCTTCGCCCCCCCCACTCCCCCTTTTCCCGCCTTTTTCCCAGCGCACGCGCAGGGCGCACAGCGCCGCCCAGCGGCCGGGAGGACTCCACGCTCCCTTCCCCCGGCCCTCCCTCTCCTCCCTCTCCCTCCGCCTCCCCTTTCGCCGCCCTTCCCTCTCCTCCTCCTCCTTCCTCCGTCCCTCTCCCTCCTCCTTCCCCTCCCTCTCCCCGCCCCTCCCGCCCCTCCCTCCGCGCACGCGCCCCGCAGCGCCCCGGCGGCGGAGCCAAGATGGCGGCGGTGGTTCAGAATGTGGTCAAGCTGTGAGTGCGGGTCCCCCCCCTCGGGCCCCCCACCCCGCGGAGCGGGAATGGTGCGGCCCGGCCGAGCGCGGGAAGCGGGGCCCCCCCGCGAGCCGGGCGGGACCAAGTGGGCGGGGAGGGGGGGAGAAGCGACACGCGCGCATTGTTCGCGGTGAACTTTGCTGGGGGGGGGGGGTAAAGGACACCCCAAAATCCTCCCCAGCACCGGGAGAGCCGCGGGGATTTGAGGGGGGGGAGCCTGGGAGAGTCCCGAGGGTCCGGGAGGGTCCCCCTGGTCTGGCCCTGAGAAGGTCCCGGAGAGGGCACTGGGAGGGTTAATTCCTGTAAAGCCTTGAAATTCCCTAAATTGTATCCCTGTTATTCCCTGCGCTTCCTTTTGTATCCCTGAACTCCCTTGGGAGAGCATCCTGTGGAGGCCAAGGACGGGGGAGTCATCCCAACACATCCCTGTGCATGCCTGGAGATTCCCTGTGCATCCCCGAATATCCCCAAATATACCTAAATATCCCTGTACATCCTCTGTTCTTCCTTGCTTATTCCTGCACTACTTCCCTGTGCATCCCAGTGAGAGGGTCCTGGAGAGGCCGAGTTGGGGAGACCTTCCCTGTACTTCCCATAAATCCTTGTATTTCCCTCGAAATACCTGTATTCGACTTGAAATCCCGGTATTCCCTTTGAAATTCCGGTGTTCCTCTGTATATTCCTGTACTTCCCTTTAGATCCCTGTATTTCCCTGCGTATTCCCTGTATTTTCCTTCAGATCCCTGTATTTCCCTTTAAATCCCGGGATTTCCATCCCTTTGCTCCATCTTTTCCCTTCACACCCCTGGGAGTGTCCTGGACAAGCCAAGGAGTGGGAATTCTGTTCTTTATCCCGAATATTCCCCAACTGGGTCCCTGCGACTCTCCCGTACTGTCCCTGAGGGTTTCCAGGTCTATCCCTGATATTCCCTGGGTTTATCCCTGGTATTCCCTAGGCTTATTCCTGATATTCTCCAGGTGTATCCCTAACACATCCCAGTCACATTCCTGAGGGTTTCCAATCCCTGTGGGCTGTTCCTGTGCCATTCCCCGTGCCATCCCCATGCCAATCCCTGCCATTCCCCGTGCCATTCCCCGTGCCATTCCCCGTGCCATTCCCTGCCATTTCCCCGTGCCATTTCCCCGTGCCATTCCCCGTGCCATTCCCTGCCATTCCCCGTGCCATTCCCTGCCATTCCCCGTGCCAATCCGTGCCATTCCCCGTGCCAGGCTGGGCGAGCAGTATTACCGGGATGCCATGGAGCAGTGCCACAGCTACAACGCGCGGCTCTGCGCCGAGCGCAGCGTGCGCCTGCCCTTCCTGGACTCGCAGACCGGCGTGGCCCAGAGCAACTGCTACATCTGGATGGAGAAACGGCACCGTGGGCCCGGTAAAACAACGGGGAAACAACGGGGGAATGGCAGGGAAACAATGGGGAAACAATGGGGAGACAGTGGGGGAATGGCAGGGAAACAATGGGAAAATGCAGGAAAACACCAGGAGAACAAACAGCTGGAAAATGCCAGGAAAACACCAGGGGAACAGCAGGAAAACACCAGGGGAACGGCAGGAGAATGATGGGAAACAATGGGGAAGTGATGGGGGAATGAGAGGGAAGTAACAAGGAAATTATGGGAAACAGTTGGAGAAGAATGGGGAAATGGGGAGGAAACACTTGGGAGAATGGGAGACAGTGAGAGAACAGTGGGAAAAAAATAGGGAAACACTGGGAAAAACAACGGGGAAACAGCAGAAAAACCCCGGGGTGGGGAGCAGGGTCACTTTGGGCTCTTTTGTCACCTCCTTGGGAAAGTTTGGGATGTTTCATCGCAACCTGGGATAATTCCGAGCACTTCAGTCCCTCCCTGGCCGGATTTTGGGGTAATTTGGGGGTTTTTTTTGGCAGGTTTGGCAGCCGGGCAGCTCTACTCGTACCCGGCACGGCGCTGGCGCAAGAAACGCCGCGCCCACCCCCCGGAGGACCCCCGGCTCTCCTTCCCCTCCATCAAACCCGGTAATTCCAGCCTTTCCCTGCTGGATTTCTGGGAATTCCACCCCGGATCCGCCAGCATCCCACCCCCTCTTTCCCATTTTTCTCTTTTTCCCACATTTTTTTTTCCCATTTTCTTCCCCCTTTTCCCCCCTCGGTATTCCCCGTTTTCCCATGTTTCCCCCGTGTTCCTGCAGACACGGAGCAGGCTCTGAAGAAGGAGGGGTTGCTGTCGCAGGACGGGAGCAGCCTGGAGGCTCTGCTCAGGACGGATCCCCTGGAGAAGAGATCCCTGCCCGACCCCAGGATGGACGACGACAGCCTGGGCGAGTTCCCGGTCACCAACAGCCGTGCCAGAAAGGTAACGGGAATTACAACGGGAATTACGGGAATTATACCAGGAATTACAGGAATTATAATGGGAATTACAATGGGAATAACACAGTGGGAAATGGGAATTCTGCACCGGTCACCAACAGCCACGCCAGGAAGGTAACGGCAGTTATGGCAATTACAGGAATAATAACTGGATTTATGGGTGGGAAATGGGAATTCTGGAATGGGAACAGGAATTCTGCACCAGGAACTGGGAATTCCAAGTTGGATCCAGGTGTGGCCCCTCCTGGGTCCTTTCCCATTTTTCCTGGTATTTTCCCAGTATTTTCCTGATATTTTCCCATTTTTCCTGATATTTTCCCTTTTTTCCCCGTTTTTTCCTGATGCTTTCCCCCCATGACTCCTCTGCTCCCGATTCCAGCGGATCCTGGAGCCCGATGATTTCCTGGACGATTTGGACGATGAGGATTATGAGGAGGACACGCCCAAGAGGAGGGGGAAGGGCAAAGCCAAGGTGAGCCAATTCCAGGGAATTCCTGGCGAATTTCCTCCACACAGAGAGGAAAAACTGGGATTTGCAGCGGGCCCTTCGTTTTTCCCAAATTCCCAAGGATTTGTCGTTCCCACCGTGTGGCACTGTTGGATCGTTCCTTCCCCTGTTCCCCATTCCAGCCTGGCTTTTCCCGTTTTTTTTTTTTTTTTTGCCCAAATCCCGATTTTTCCTGCAGGGAAAAGGCGTCGGGGGGGCTCGGAAGAAGCTGGATGCCGCCATCCTGGAGGACAGGGACAAACCCTACGCATGTGACAGTGAGTGGGGACATTCCCGGGGCTGGGATCACAGAATTCCCACACCCGGGGGGGCAGGGCCAGCTCTCACCTCCCTCCCGTGGGGTTTTCCCACTGGGAATACTGGGGAACAGCCCCGGCACCGTGGGTTAGAACAACAGGATAAAACCAGGATAAAAACGAGAATAAAAACCAGGAGAAACTTCCCAAAGTACCCCCGAGGCCGGGAAGGCCCCTCCTCTTCATCCCAGTGGTTTTCTAGTGGTTTTCCAGTCCCTGGGATCATTCCCAGCCCTCCCTTAAGGAGCTGGGATCCAGCAGAGCCCTCAGAGCAGGGGCTCCATCCCTTCCAACCCCCTCAATGCACAAATCCCACGGGATAACGGGATGGGGAATCACAAGGGAGGCTTTGCCAGCTCCTTTTTCTCTCTTCTTCCTCCTGTCCTGCCACTTCCCAGCACTAATTCTCCCCCTGGCTCCCTGAGGTTGTGTTTTTCCTGCCCTTTTTTTCCCGGTTTTCCGTGTGTGTGTGTGTGTGTGTGTGTGTGTCCGTGTCCTCTCACGACTTCTCTTTCTGTGTTTCAGACAGTTACAAACAAAAGCATTCCTTGAAACCTCCCGACCGAGGTAGTTCCGCTCTCTCTCTGCTCGTTTTTCCTGCTTTTCCTCCTTTTTTTCCCCCCCGCCTTTTTTTCCCCCCCAAAAAAAAACCCAAAAACTTCCCCCTCTGGAGCCGCGGGATGGGCGGGAGGGGAGGGAGAAGCCAAAGGCCACGGGAGCGACGTCAGCGCCGGCCCCGCTGCGGCCCCTGACCCTTTTCCAGCAGGGAATGAGGCCGGGAAAACAAAGATTAACCCCCCTGTGGAGCCTGCAATGGGAAAAACACGGAGTTTCCACCCCAATCCCGGAGTTTCCACCCCAATCCCGGAGCTTCCACCCCAATCCCGGAGTTTCCACCCCAATCCCGGAGTTTCCACCCCNTTCCACCCCAATCCCGGAGTTTCCACCCCAATCCCGGAGTTTCCACCCCAATCCACAGCTCCCCACTGTTGTTTACCCGCTCCAAATCCGTGGGGTTTTGCCTTAAAAAAACCCCCAAAAAAATCAGGATGGGCTGCAGAGGGGGTGGGGAATTTGGGATATTCCCGAAGCTCCTGTTTCTCACCTCGGGAGGAGAATTCCAGAGTCGTGTTTGGAAATTGTCCTAGAGGTTTTGGGGGGGGAAAAAAACCCAAAAAAGGTGACTTTGGAACCCCGTGGATTGGAAGGGAACCAGGAATTCCATGGGAATCACATTGGAATTGCTGCTTTTTCCTCGCTGCTGCTCCAGTCCCATTTTCCACAAGAATTCCCCCAGATCCTGGGGTGATTCCCGTGGCTCTTAGCCCAAAAAAAGCATCCTGGGCTGCTGGAGCCATCCTCCCTTTGGAAGTTCAGCCCCGTTTCCTGTGATCCTGCTGATTTTTCCCTCATTTTTCCACGGTGTGGGGGGATTTGGAGGTGGAAGCGGATCTGGAAAAGCTCCAAAATCGGGCAAATCTCATCCCAAAGAGGCACATTCTTAATTTATGGAAAAACACAGGGAAAACACATTGGGGAATGTCTGCACTGGGCCCTGGGATTCCCCATACAGCGCTGGTTTTTTTGGGATTTCATCCCAAATCCACTGGCTGGGAAGGAGCCGGATCCGGGCCTGGAAAGGGATTTTGGGAAAGGAAAAACCCCAAAAAATCCCTGGAAAAGCAGCACTGGGGAACTGGAGCCGATTCCCTGATCCACAAGGAGCCGGATGGAGGCAGAAATCTCCCAAATTCTGGGGTGGGAAATGGGAAAACCGATGGATTTTGGGGTTGGGAGCAGCCGGGATGGATCCAGGGCTGCTGCCAAATCCCCCCTTGGAACCCCAGAATTCCCGGGTTTCCCCTTCCCTCCGTTTTTAACCTCAGGATGGGATTTTTGGGGGTGGGAATTTCTTCTCCCTGATACCTTCCCAGTGGGGATTTTGCCATTGGATTGATCCTGGGGAATTTATCTGGAATTCCTTTGGGATCCTGGGGAATTTATCTGGAATTCCTTTGGGATCCTGGGGAATTCACCAGGAATTCTTTTGGAATCCTGGGGAATTCGCCTGGCATTCCTTTGGGATCCTGGGTCATTACGTGGAATTCCTTTGGGATCCCGGGGAATTTGGCTGGAATTCCATTGGAATCCCAGGGAATTTACCTGGAATCCCTCAGGAATTCCGGGTGCTTTTCCCCAATTCCAGCCCCTCGGGGAGCTCCCCCTGCTCTCCCAGCCCAGCACTGGGGTCGGGGCATCTTCGGAGGGTTCAGGATTTGGGATTTTCCTCCCCTTGCCCGGTCCCTGACTGGGATTTTCCCGGGTTTTTCCCGGGTTTTTTCCCGGATTTTCTCGGCAGTCTGCGGGAAGCGCTACAAGAACCGCCCGGGGCTGAGTTACCACTACGCCCATTCCCACCTGGCCGAGGAGGAGGGGGACGACAAGGACGACTCCCAGCCCCCCACTCCGGTCTCCCAGCGCTCCGAGGAGCAGAAATGTGAGGAAAAAAAACCTGGAATTATCCCCTGGAATTCCCTCCCTGGGAGGTGTCCCAGCTCCAGGCAGGAATTTGGGAATTCCGTGCCCTGATCCCGGGGTCCTGCTCCGCCTTTCCAGCCAAGAAGGGTCCGGATGGGTTGGCCCTTCCCAACAATTACTGCGATTTCTGCCTGGGAGACTCCAAGATCAACAAGAAGACGGGACAGCCTGAGGAGCTCGTGTCCTGCTCCGACTGCGGCCGCTCCGGTGGGACAGGAACCGAATTCCGGGGCGTGGAGGGGCTGGGATTGGGGAGGACATTTGGGATCGTGGATCCGAGACTGGGAGGAGCCAGATTGGGAGAGGATCTTTGGGATCGTGGATCCGAGACTGGGAGGAGCCAGA